TCAAAATCAATAATATACCATGACACGTAATCCACCAGTAATAAAAGTTTACAAAAGGAAACAAAAGATGTGTTAAGGTAGATATGTTGGTGAGAAAAAATAAATATATGTTTTATCATCAAAGGAAGTTGAGAGCGTGAACTAATACCTTTGTGTGTCTCGCAGGAGGATCGTATCGATCCAGATCATCGAGGAGGACAGCTACGAGAAGGACGTGCTCTTCTACCTGGACATCGGGGAGCCTGTTGCTAGTGGAGGTAGGCAGACTCCTTCACATATCACCTGATGGACACATATCCATCTTGGGAGAATGGTAGGGGTAGGGGTAAGAGGTAGGGTAGGAGGTAGGGGTAGGGGTAGGGGTGGAGGATGGGGGATACAGAGCAGGTGTAGGGACTTGTGGAGGAGAATTACAGACACAATGAAAACTATTCACTAGATCTGATTTATCAAAATGTTTACCGTATAAATATGTTTATTTTAATTCTTGAATGGATTAAGGCAGGAACAACAATTCAAAATTCTTAAATTTCATTATTTCCTTTTTCACAATAATTGGTGATCGAAAAATATTTAATTATATTGTTAGTTGTATATAGCTGTGAACTTAGGGGCTCTCAGGATATGAAAAGCATTAATATGTCTATATAGGACAAAAAAAAATAATATATATATATATATATATATATATATATATATATATATATATATATATATATATATATATATATATATATATATATATATATATATATATATATATATATATATATATATAGGGGGTATTGGAATACCACAAACAAATAATTATCCATAATAAAACTCTTCAGTAAGATAAGGTCTAAACTATCCTCAATGTTCATCAATAATAAATTGTTTTATAGTTATAATAATTCACTTGACAGTTAACAGAGTTCCAACTATAGACAGTGTTCTTACAATAACAACTTGTTATGGATTATTTCTTACTAAACTTTAGTTACTCCTCCGTGTTCTTCAGAGGAAGTTAGCTTAGTTTAGCTGGGTTTTTCTAGACTGGAATATATATATTATACTCTTAACAGGCTTAGCCTAACTTTATAGCATATACAGGGTGTCTCAAAATGTATACTCAGTGTCTTACAGATCTTCATAGCTGTAATATGAATGTTTGTATGACAACACCATTTTCGTCATCACTTGACTAGTTGATGTGTGATGATGGTGTTGCAGTGCTAACATTCATACTACGAGCTCCAAGATAATCTATAAGGCAGTGAGCAACAGTTTTTGACACCCTGTTTGTATATATATCATTTGTATTTGTTATTAATCTCGTTTCATGTATTAACGAGTTAATCACTTAAAAATAATAATTAACATATCTAATTTGCTTCTATGCTCAAAAATACCCACAAAAGTCCTGTACAAAAGAAGAGTTTTGGGGTATGTTAGTAGAGACTCATGTTAAACAACATTAAGATTAACGCTGATTAATGTGTGCCGTTAAAAGGCTTCTCCCCAATAAGATAATTCCTCCTGTAAGTGTTCAGTCACATAGCTAGGGATAAACTTAATGACATCTACAATAATGGGGAGATTAAACCTTCATCATCTTTTCAGTGAACCGCTGCCTGTGAACACCTACTTGTCTTAGTTTATTTAGCTCACATATAAATAGTATTTTCCTGTGTAAATATATGATAAATTTATATTTCAAGAACAGTCATAAAAAAGAAATACGCATCATAAACAGAGATCTTATATACAGTAGAGTCACGCATCATAAGCAGAGATCTTATATAGAGTTACGCATCATAAGCAGAGATCTTATATAGAGTTACGCATCATAAGCAGAGATCTTATATAGAGTTACGCATCATAAACAGAGATCTTATATAGAATTGATTGTTTATTTCTGATGTACTGTATGTGTACAGAACTACCTAAACGATGTATATCTCTTTTTATTCTTATAATTGTATTTTACGTAGATGTATTTCACTGTATTTTTAAGTAAGAGCTACAACAACAACCCAAAATATTATTGCAGCTCCAGATTGACTTATAAGCCCTACCTCCCATGCAACCAAGTTTATCTCTATAGTGTCACCCTACACTATTTTTAATGTAGTTTTATATGGATTCAGTTTTTGGGTCATGCCTCTAGATATAATTTCCCCACTGCAATAGTCTTGTGTAACTCCCTCTGCTTCTAGTTCACCCTCGTCACATAAAGCACAGTCAGGTCTAGTTATTACTGTCACTGGTTAACATCTGACTATTCGAGGTGAATTACTCTAGCCATCATGACCTAGTTTATATGGCCCTCAGCACTCTTAGATGCAAATTATATTTTAGCTGTAAATGATCTAATGTTTTTTTCCACTCTCTTCTCTTCATCGCCCTGTGTATAAATAAATCCAATTGGTATCGCCTGTTTTCCATCGATGTAAGTGGCCCATGGTCTTCGTTGAGCGATGTATGAAGGAATGAAGAATGTCGCTTGCTGGTAGTTTGTAACCTTCTCCCACACTTGTAGTTCAGTAGCAAAATTGTCATGCAACAGCACTATAAACTTGTGCAAGTGATACCCTTTGCACTGCATTGTTGTTCTTTTAAGTTTAAATTACTTTCTCTGCCGCGAGTGGTTGTACACACCCCGAATGCTCTTTATGATTATATAAACAAACATTGAGTTAAAAGGTGCAAATAGCTCTGACATCTGATTTAACCACTTAGGGCTGGTTAGCCAGTACCCACTCGGGTATGTTTGAAGTTCATATACTGTACATTCTTGGATCTCTTGGAAACATCAGGATCAGATGACAGAAATATTTCACTCGCGGAGAGTTAGTCTGCAGCAACGTGACGATGACTACAGCGAAGTGTTTGTCCAGATCTTTCAGTAATTGATGGTTGTTCATACTTTGATAATATTTACACGCCGTGAACCGACTGTTCACTGGCTGGACAGGTAGTAAGAATGATCTAAGGACAAACTTCGCTGGTAAGTCTTGCATAGGTGTTGCTTGAAGTGATAGTACACTTTGGTTGTGCCACCCTCGTGACACCTTGGTTGTGCCACCTTCGTGACATCTTGGTTGTGCCACCCACAGTACACCCTGGTTATGCCACCCTCAATAAAATTTGGTTATGCCACCTTCAATACACCCTGGTTGTGCCACCCTTAGTACACCTTGGTTATGCCACCTAACCTTAAAATTTGGTTGTATAACCTTCAGTATACCCTGGTTGTGCCGCACCTAGTAAAAATTGGTTGTGCCTACTTCATTACACCTTGGTTATGCCACAAATAGAATGACAATCCCTTTGTTACATTACCAACGACCCATACATACTCTCACTGCCCCTGCACCACAAGTCACAACTCTGCCTCCTCCAAGTCTTTGTCATAGTCATTATTCAAGGTAAAGATCAGTGAGGACAGAGCTGAAGTATTCTGGATGTATACAAGAAGGATTAAAAGTCGTTTTTGATGACCTTTAAGCCCTGTATACTGAAGGATCTTAATGGTTGAACACGTATCACCCTGACCTGAGCTGACCTTGTTGAAGTAGACTTGGGTTTGTCTCGTTTAATTCTGCAACTTTAAGAGATAATGATACAGTACTTTTGTGGAGAAGTTAACCAGATAACTATATTACAACACAAACATATGTATTTCCACCGCAAAGTAGCAGAATTAAGCGATTTGCGGAAAGTAGTATACCTTGATAATGAAGTAGTTAGGGCAGTGTCTAGCGCCAGCCCAGGTATTGCATGACGCAGGTGTTCCAAATCTGCCTGTTCACTGCTCAATGCTTTCTTGTATAAATATCATTATCATTTATTTTATCTAGGATGGACTTCCTTAGTTATCTTTTAATACAGAAGTTATTTTTCAGTCAGTTATTATTATTATCATCATTGATATTTTGTAATTTCATGCAGAACCTCCAGTGAAACTGATCAGAAAGAAAAAAAAGACACTGAAAGGTATATAGTTTTATAGTTTAATGAATACATGAAGAGTATAACTACCCTTAGCCCATTCTCATTACTATGACATAGGTATCGTATTTCCACTTCCTCGTATCAGTTTACTAATCCAGTTTGTATTGGTGTTTCTGTTGTGTTTGTTGGTTTGTCCCTTGTAAGCTTATACTCAGTTATCTTCTTAACCAATAATAAATTAATAGCAGCTAAGTGAGCTAAGTATCCTTGTTCAGTGTTTCAGTATTCAAGTGGAAGGGTTGATGAATATCCTCCTTCTTTATCAGTATTGCTTCATGTGTAGTCAATACTTCAAATTATTTCATCTTCTTAAGACTATATTACCTACCTTAATTTTATTATTATTATCATTATATTTTTCTCGCTTTTTATAATTCTCTTTTACAATAAAGACAATGAGCTGAGATTTTACGCAAGTTATTTATCAAGTTGTGTCCATATTTCTCTCTTTTTACTTCAGGAAATGTATCAAGAATATAGATTATACATTTATATACATTTTGAATAATAGATCTTGTACATAATCAGTGTGTGTTGATCTGTGTGCGTCTACGTTGTGATTCAGCTGCTAGAACGCTTGGCAAACTTTCTTTTTGTATTGTGAAATATGAACTACAGAAAATTGGCTTCGTTGATATTGTCTATTTTGTGCCAGAGAAAATATTTTTGACTTTTCTTGTGATGGGGAATTAATAATAATGAGGACTTTGGGATAATAATTCAGGTATCGTAGTTTTGATCGTTCTTTCATAGGTACTGTGGGGAAAAGACTCAATGTATTTGTTCATGGCAGTAAAGTATTAGAGTATACTTGGCCTGTGTCTTTTATAAGTAAATGTGTTAATGTTAGCAAAGGTTTAGCAGTAATGGCTTTCTGGGTTGCTACAGACGCTACCATGGACAGAACTAAGTATATTAGGGACGCTCTTTGCACAAAATAGTTAATAACTTCGTGCCAGGATTCTGTACAAGTCCGCCAACTCACATCTCCACCACCCTTGCAGACGACGACGATTTAGGCTTCGAGTTTGCCAACAAGGAATCAGAACTGACTGAAGATGAGAAGATCGCACTCCTGGGCAAACCTAAGCTCGGCGCAGCTACCCGCACCCAGATAAGAGTCAAGGAAAACAAGGAATACAGGGTTAGTATAGCATAATATTGTTTCCCTATTATGAATTTAGTATTTATTTTATCTTAATGCGTAATCACTCTCATTAGGTGTTTCTATTAAGAATTGAGATACGGATCAGATGAGGAATGACAAGTATTACTACAGGTGGGATAAATTACTTGATCACGAGAGAGAGAGAGAGAGAGAGAGAGAGAGAGAGAGAGAGAGAGAGAGAGAATTACACAGGAATTATTTAGTACGATAGGATTTTTGTGACTTTAGACAAATTGGCATAAGCTACTACATGCAGGAAACAAAATTCTTCTCTCTGTAGTGAAAGAACTGAGCTAAGACTATGACAGAAGCTTTATATTGATAAGAAAAGACCTTCCAAACTGGTTTTACTCTGGATGACTTCTGTGATATTATGACGCTGAAAAATCTCCTCAATTCAGATGGTTGTATTATCACCCTAAGTCACTCAAACGTCTTCACACCTTATAAGCGATTAATAGTATCATTTGCCACAAAAGCCTTCCCAAGAGTGACTATCAGGTCCTTAATGTAGAGTTTCCGTCAACAGGCAAGAGTCGTCACCTAGCCTTCCCAAGAGTGACTATCAGGTCCTTAATGTAGAGTTTCCGTCAACAGGCAAGAGTCGTCACCTAGCCTTCCCAAGAGTGACTATCAGGTCCTTAATGTAGAGTTTCCGTCAACAGGCTAGAGTCGTCACCTACTTGTTATAATCTTTTAATCTTTTTGCAGTTCAGTAACTCCCCCTCAACGCGTAGGTCAAGAGACTTGAAACTATACGACTTCCTCCTCTTCTTCCTCCTTACATGCATGTCAGAAAAAAGTCTCATTAAGCCAAGTTAACTGCTACAGTACATACACATTACTCCCGGCTGCTAACAATGAGCATGTCACTCAGTCATCTTAGTTTCGTACTTGACCTATTTCAATCCACAGTGCACAAACCACTCGCCTTTCTAACGTACATAACACACACTCATTTACTGTGCACAACACACACTCATTTACTGTGCACAACACACACTCATTTACTGTGCACAACACACACTCATTTACTGTGCACAACACACTCTTTCATCTACAGTGCACAACACACTCTCACCAACAGTACACAACACACTCTCACCTACAGTACACAACACACTCTCACCTACAGTACACAACACACTCTCACCTACAGTGCACAACAAACTCACGTCTACCTAAACATCCCTTCAGATATTTTTAATTCACTAAGGCAAACATAGTAGTTCTTCCTATGATCCCTAAGCTTCCCTCTACCACCTGGCCCACTGTAAATGCCTGACCAACACTCAACCTTTACCTCCTATTATTTCCTTAACCTGTAAAGCTTCGTACTCTATCGATCACCATCCCGCCAAATAACAGTTGTGCCATACTCAAACGATCTAGTCCTCTATAATATTCACACATTCTTTTACCTAACACTAACATACAGTATAGCAAGACTCAGACATTAACAACTGGCCTATAAGCTACTGATATCTATGTACTTATATATTCCTCATCCATGTTTATCCGATCTTAATCCTCTTTTGTGATGTCTTTTTCTCTATTGAATTGTATCTAATCGTCTATCGCCGAGAATTGAGTCTACTTGTTCTTTTGTTTATTTTTATTGTATCATCTATCTTTAGTAATTCTCTCAAACGTTCCCTCCAATTCTCCCTATAAACTTCTTCATCTGTCATTAACATTTTTTTATCTAAATTACCCCCTCTATTGACTTATTCCTCACTTCTCTTTTTTATTATCTTCTTTCACTTATCGATCAAGTTTCTTTATTTTTCACTTCACAGTCTCGTATGTTTTATTCTTGATCTTCCATCTTTCACTAACTGCAGGCAAACCTAAACAGTTCTTTTCATACTTTTCCCTCGTTTTTGTTTCATTTCTTATGTTTTCCGTCACCATGTTGTTCCATACCCCGTCTTACACTCTGCCACACCACCAAGGTAGCAGCCTCCAGGATCCTATTCACTAGTGTGTCTCAACAACGCTTCAACTTCATATATTCCAAAGTCTTCATTGTTAAGTTTCTCAATCAACTTCTTCTGGAAAACACGCATCATAATCTCATCCTTTAACTTTTCAATTTCCTCTTTTCCTTGCATTGTCTTCTATGTTTGTTTGTTTTTTTGGTTTTTAATTTAACTGAACACTAATTCTATCTTGCATACAACAATAGATTTTTTTTTATTCCCCTACAAGGTCTTGCTTCAATCAGGACATCTGTCAGTGATGGGAACTTTATTTGTACAAAGTCAAACATATCTCATTCGTCCTGGTCGTCTCGTGGTGAACCAAACCTCAACCGTTCACCTCCCATTATAAAATTATCACTTTCATTTATTCTCATGTCATTCGTTTCTAATATATATTTCCAGAGAATTCTTTTTAGAAACACTCAACATGTAAGTTCCGTACAGTGTGATGCTCTGCTCCCCCACTCACACCTCCCACCCAGTTTTTCCCCCGGTGGTCACAGACAATTCACCACCCACACTCCTCCAAGGCTCTGCTCTTATTTTCTATGGATACAATACTCGGGGAAGAATTCCTCAGACCCAGTTTAATCACCTATGACACACAGGGTACACATGGAATTTATTCTTTGGGCCAAAACCTCAAAAAGATTTGTTTGAGTAAAGTAGTTAGCAAGTACGCTCCTTTGTTTAGTGTCCGATCCTCCAGTTGCTCAGCAGACTCCACAGTATCCAGAGAAAAGTAATGATGTGAACATAAACATGATGTAGGTGAATACAATTTTAACTGTCCAGTGTTTTTTGGGGAGCTGTGTTTGTTTATTTGTATATATATATGTGCTTGTATATGGTTCTGTATATATTAATATATTCACATTGTGTATGTTGATGTCCAAAATTTGGCATCTAGCCGCCTTGGCAGGACGCTAGTCCATAGATTGGCTGATCCTCCACTCTGGTCGGGAATCGAACCCATGACCAATAGCTTGCGTGGAAACAGCTCTGCCAACCGAACTACGAAGCCACACACACACACACACACACACACACACACACACACATATATATATATATATATATATATATATATATATATATATATATATATATATATATATATATATATATATATATATATATATATATATATATATATATACAGTATATATATATTTCTTTTTCTTTTTCTTTTTTTTTGTAGATTATACACTCACTGGTGTACTTGCTGCTTCTGTCCTTATCATGAAGGAATTTTCATGAACCATGAAAACATGAGACCTGCAGCTGACAAGTTCTTAAATTGATACAAAACACATTAATCATTTTATGTCATTGCATGATGCAAGAACACAGCCACAGTCCCCACGCTAACACAGTTTCTTGCTGGAGACAAATGATAATAGCTTTTTTAGAGAAAATTTTTTATTTCAATAAATAGTTTGTCAGTTTTACTCCCTCTTTTACCATATAACATCTGAATGGCATGGTTTTAAACTCAACAAAACAGACAACCCAAAATGTATACCAGTTAACTTAAAGATGCACCTCATGATAGTATCCCTTCTGCTCACTTCTGACGTACTTAATTTTCCTTTGAATATAGGTTGACCAAAAAGTTACATTCTTTCGACATTTTGGCATATACAGCTTAGTGTTTCAGTTACCACAAAGGTTACCTTACACTCCCTCATTAACCACGTGCCATCACCCTTTGCACCAAACATTCTTAAAATCACTATTTTTGTGGCCAATGTTTATCCCTTCAATTTTCACCGCATTGCAGAAATTGGTGGACAACATGGTCAATGAGTTTCTGTCCCTTGAGGAGAACCCGGTAACATTTTGATACAGTGTACTGTAGAGACAGCTGCCCGTGGCGCACGGCCAACTCTGCTTTCTGAGAGCTCATTTGGTTTATAAGATACAGGTAATCTAAGAAAATGAATGCTTATATGGCAGCAAAATTTGTGGAAATGTAAGCCTGCAGTTGTTGAATAGACCCACTGACTGACTTTTGCATACTGCTATGAGGATATCAAAATGGGTTTACGGATGGAAACTATTGGTACCGAGATGAGAACATGTTCACAAGATGACGACGGAGACCTTCGTCCAGTGTGGCTGATTCATAGGTAACAAGTTAACAGTTGGAAGATGTTATGTAAATAGTTAACAAATATAGCTCACAATATTTAACTGCTCATGACTACTACAACTACTATCTTAGTAAAAGCGATAAAAGACTCGGCTGTTGCACCGCAGTGATACATCACAGCATTAACATCAGCGAGTAGTCATTATCCAGTCTGATTGAGAAATAAATGAGCGAACATTGTCATCAACAAATAAACCAAAATTGGTATTACTAACCATCATTTCTGGACTAAGAGACACACACAACGTCCGTGAACTGGGATTAAAATATATTATAAATATTAAAAGAAAAAAATGTATATACAGTACATCATATTCTGATGCTTTTCTGTTAATAATTCAAATTAAATTTACTTTGCTCCAATTTTTACAAGTGAGATATGGTAGATTGTTGTTTTACTTCTCTTCTCCTCTGTAAAGAACATCCACGGTGCCTCATTCGGTGTATATACTGTATACAGTATACTGTGTATTGGATATGGCAGAATTTCTCATTGATGTTCCAATTAGATTGTGGTGCCGGCTGGCTGGGTGAGCACCCACACTGAGTCATTGTCATCAACAGATCAATGATGTTATCAAAATATAATAAGATAAAAAAGCTGCAGTGGGCATCGTTTAGGTTTCATTATTCAGGTGGACATTTGTGGAGGCCGAGGAGGTCACGGCTTAACAAGTGACCACATTAAAGAAACAACATCCTGAGAGTGAGGGTGAAGCAGGCTTATTAATGTAACCCCTCATACAGGTGAGTCTAAAACCAACCAACTTAACTAACTTTGGTTAGTTACAATAAATTTTGTTGAAATAAGAACACTAACGGTAAATACTTAATTCTTATTAGTGTTGCAGTGAAGAAATTACTTTTGTCGTTAAGGTAAAGTCCCTAAGTGTAAACGCATGTGTGACTCAGCCTTAACGATTCTGTGGGAGAGCAATTTGCTTGAAATTGAAACATAAACGTTATATATATATATATATATATATATATATATATATATATATATATATATATATATATATATATATATATATATATATATATATATATTAGTTTTTGTAGAGTTAATATTTATATGTCTATTATGGCCATCAACAAAATAATTCTTTCAAGAATTAAAATTAGAAAATATAATTATCTGTGAGATGTTAATGGACAGAACACATTACGAAGAATAAAGCACCACTCTTGTTTCCTTCACTAAAGAAACTAATAGAGCTTTGCCATTGTATGCAATCCCTTAAACGCAGAGTAGTAGCAGCTCTCCCATGGGTGTTCCAGACAACACTATGATACCAAATGAGCTCTCATGTATCCGCTTATGTTGCTTCATGGCAGACAGTATTGGTGGCCTTAGACGAGTCTTGTTCATATAGTTTTTCACCTGTTTTGTCTCTTGTACATCATCTCCAAAGGCAACCCTGGATTGCTTTATTTTACATTTTGGCAGATCACAGGTAGATTGATAGCTACTGGGTCTGTAAAACAATTGACAAATTTCATAAATGCAACTCCGCTTCCCAAAAGAAGTACATTTATGTGACCCTCATCGGCCTTCTCTCCATAGTTCAGTACTTGGACCCTGACTGGTCGTACACACGCCGCTTGGCTTCCCTTGTAAGTGACTCAGTAGGCAAGATGCTAAGGAATCTCTTTGTTTCAAACACCATAAAGCCAACCTGAACTTACTTTGTCTCCTCATTTGTGATTGTCACTGAGATGATGGCTAAAAGTCACTAACATGACTAGATGTAAATCTCTCCACAAGCACCGTGTGCCAGACGCAGCACAGGAGCAGCAGTAATCAGGTGTCCTCTCCCTGCAGAACATGGTTGACAAGCTGGTGAAGAAGGCCAACGCCTCCATGCTCGTCGGCTCCTCCTCCTGGAGGGAGCAGTTCGCCGAGGCTATCACAGTCCAGGCTGGTGAGTTGTTGTCTGTTTTGATAGCGTTCATTATATCTCTGCAGCTGATGTCTTTTTCCAGGATGATAAGAGAGCCACTTTTCCAGCTGTATTAATTATTTCTTCTCAACTAACATGAGATGCAGTTTCAGAATGTTTATGACCTAATGCCTCATGAGTATAATAATAATCACTGCTTATTACTTAGTGTGATTCTTCATGTTTATCAAGTTTGAAGTATTAAACTCTTAAGTAGTAAATTAAACATGATTTATTAAAGATGAGTGATCAGCACAAATTGAGAACTTTATCATCACCACAGCATTCAGCTACTTGGTAAATTATAATATTGATATATCAGGAATTCATATATAGTATTACATATTCTGGTACATATATACCACATACATAAAACAGTCGGTATTGTGCGGTAGCCAGAAGACTAGGTTGGCAATTCCTTACGCTTGAAGTCAGAGTCTTGGAGATAACTGGAGTTTTAAATCCTCCTGTATATCTTGAAACATATCCTCTGGTCTCTGCTACCTCCCGGCCTCAGGAGGCCTCTCAGTCTCTGTTGGCATCTCAGCCTCTGTTGGCCTCTCAGTCTCTGTTGGCCTCTCAGCCTCTGGTGACCTCTCATCCCAAATTATGACTGTTCACATACCGCTGTTCAGTATCACTGGGGACATGTACACAGTAATACAAGATAATTATTTATTGAAAAATAAATATATGCGAATTAATACAATGATAGTCATTTGTGGATGGGGCTTAAGATAAATAAATTTGGAAATGTTCCTTTTTTCCTGATCTATTATATGGAGCATGAATGAGCATGAAGAGTAATGATAAAAAAATTAATGAAAATATAAAATTCTATTAAACCAATTATAAGTCTCGGACACAAGGCTTATTATCCACTTTTAACTTCACAAAGCAGCCATCTCAAATTACATTCAAATTTCCATACGTGATAGTTGAAGATCTTGCGCCTTGAAACTACCTGTATATTAGTAATCAAAATAGATTCAGGAAAAAATGTCACAAGAAACACACTTATGACGTACGCAAAAGATCATCAGCTGAGGCAGTAAGGAAGACCTGGTTAACTCACTTTATTGTCCAGACGACGACACACAGTCAAGATGGCTTACTGTACCTCAGAAACAATACTGTACACTGCAGAGAGGCTACTGTACAGTTTATATATGATGGGTGTACACTGTATGATGGGTGTACACTGTATGATGGGTGTACACTGTATGATGGGTGTACACTATATGATGGGTGTACACTGTATGATGGGTGTACACTATATGATGGGTGTACACTATATGATGGGTGTACACTATATGATGGGTGTACACTGTATGATGGGTGTACACTGTATGATGGGTGTACACTGTATGATGGGTGTACTCTATATGATGGGTGTACACTATATGATGGGTGTACACTGTATGATGATGGGTGTACACTATATGATGGGTGTACACTATACGATGGGTGTACATTGTATGATGGGTGTACACTGTATGATGGGTGTACACTATACGATGGGTGTACACTATATGATGGGTGTACACTATATGATGGGTGTACACTATATGATGGGTGTACACTATATGATGGGTGTACACTATATGATGGGTGTACACTATATGATGGGTGTACACTATACGATGGGTGTACACTATACGATGGGCTTACACCTGGTGGGTGTACACTAGAGCTGACAGTAAAGGCCCCACGGGTAAATGGTGTTCCCAAGATGTTCCATTACTGCTGCCCGTCACCCTGCTGGAACACACACACACACACACACACACACAGCACATCACATATGACAACAAAGACACGGTATCAAAATTTGTTGTTCATAAATTTAATAATTATAATTGCATGTACCTGAATGACCATAGAGTAGTTCACCAAAAAAAATTTCATATTAGTTCACTTAGGAGGTAAAATTGATAATACAATATGAATTGGTATAATAATTAAATATGCACTCAGTAGGTAGAGTAAGGGATTGTTCCAAAGGTTTGGTATCCATCTTGATTGGAGGACTGGGCTCTCTCCTTGTACCTACATTATCCCTTGTAAACTGATGTTGGAACAGCCTGCCCGGCCACCACCCTGCTTCAATGCGGGATATTTCTTGCATGTTTAAATAAATTATATGTATATAAAGTATATATGTGTGTGTGTGTGTGGCTGTTTAATAGGTAATAAGTCTCATGAAGTATAAACAAAAAAGAAGATAATGGGTGATGTTTAGTTTCTTCGTTTCTATCTCAGTGGACACATTCCACCGCTGAGCCAACCCTAGTTAAATTGTCCTTTTATAGCGTGTTGGACACTCTTATAAGGGTGTTACTAAGTACTTGGTCGGATTCAAAGTGGTAACCTCTCCTGAGGATGTACAGAGGCCCAGCAAAACTTAATAGCCGAAGGTCAGATTGTTATCGGAAACTCCCGGCAAAATATCGAGAGTTCGTATACGATAACAACATACTGTCGGGCTTTATTAAAATATCATTGACGAACTGAGGTTACAAGTGATGACCTATCTCCTGCCAGCACCCGACGTGGCTGCCTCTCACTTTATTTTCTCTTTCTTCATTCTAAAATATTTCTTGGAGTCCGCTATTTTGAGTCTAACTTTATAACACCCTGGTGGTGTACTGAACACTGTCAGGGCGGGTCAAGCTGGGGGAGTAGCGCATTGAGGTGGAAGACGTGTGTTATGAAGACGTGTGAATAAGACATTACCCCTATTTTGTTCTTTTATTTCTATATCTTCAGCTTCATTCCTTATTAAATATAGCACATACATATATATGTATATACAAAGGTAAAATCTTGTCTAGAAGATAGTTTGAGTTGCTTCTAAGGAGTTATTGTGACTAATTTACAAAGCTAACTCTGCCATTCCTTCTCTACCACTTCTGCTATTGCTGGGCGTTGCTTCCAAATGGTAGGTGGAGCGGTGATGTGTGGTGTGGCAGCCTGTGCTCGTGCTTGTTGCCTTGTCCTGTGGATTGCACGCGTCACTACAACGTGCCGGCTGTATATCATCATTATTTTTTGCTTGCAGCCATCCATGAATCCTATCTTGGACTTATATATATATATATATATATATATATATATATATATATATATATATATATATATATATATATATATATATATATATATATATATATATATATATATATATAATATAGCGCCTATTTTATTAACCTTTTTTATATGTAACAGACGGTTCAACCTAAAGAATAATTATTTTCAGAAAATATTATTTGTGTGTGTGTGCTTAGGGTTGTAGCGCTTAATACGGTGTAAGAGTTTCAATAATTTTGCATGGTAGAATTGCGCTCATGTCATGTACTTTTTTCTTCATGCAACCATTTGCACAAACTTATGGTAGGTGAAATATGTCTATTGGACTTCATATTTTCTCTTAGGTTTGGTTAATGCCTGCTTATTATTTCAGTTCCATTACTGTAGTTTCCCTGTAAGTTACAGACATTAATCGCCTATGGTTCCCATTATTTCTGGAACTGAAAAGCTTCGTAGATTTTTTAGTCACTGTCCAAGTAATTTTGCTTAACATTAGAATAGTAGATTCTAACTGAATTACGTAGGAAGTAGATTAACCAATTTTTACCATAATGATTCTTATTACAGTGATATAAGTACACATTATTGTCACTGTAACCAGTTCTCAGTTACAGTTTGTCATACACAGAACACCTCCAGTCCCGCCCCTTAGTCCTGTCACCACCCTTATACACTGTTGTTGTGTTGAAAGTATTACACATTTAATTTTATCTGTACCATTGTTTGTAACTATACCTTGACAAGTAACTTTAATTGTTTACCTGTATTTTTCCCTGTACCTTTACCTTTAATTGTACCTGAAGTGATACCTGTACGATCATACCTGGGTGAATTATTAGGGTTTTTTTTTCTATTTTGCTTCCTCTGTTTATATTGTATCCCTGTTGCACCAATGTTAAGATTCACTACATTCCTATAGCCTCATCGTGAGTCTTCCTCGGAGTGACTATATAACATTTAAAGTCATATCAGTTTTAACATCTCTAACTATTGCAACTGAAGATTATTTTTGTTTACTGTTTATACTTTACTTTCCGGTATATTATTGGTTTATATTGTATTTCATTATTTTTATCATATGCAAATTTATTCAGTAATTCTCTTATGTTTATGGTATATTACATTCAAAAGTTGGATTGATTTAATATTGATCATTTTCTTCCGCTGTTGGTTACTTGCATTAATCTATTTCAACCAAAGATCATTTATAAGAGACTGACACTACACAAGAGATTTCACCCAATATGTGTTTTATAAGTATCCCTTGTATGTATTATTTACCCCCTTTTTTCCCTCTATGTATTCCCTTATCAGGTATATTACTCCTTTTTACTCCACCAGTGTAAGTCTCAGTCCTGAACCATGTCCAGTCACCCCCTCCCCTCCTGCTTGATGGACCACTGTTATTATTTACTTCATTGTATTATTGGTCCAAGAATAGAAACTTTACCCCTTATTCATTTATGTCCCTTCAACATCTTTGTTTATTCTTCCAAAAAAAACCTAAAGGTAATTTTAAGTAGAATTTTCAAAATATTTTCAAAAGAAATTCCGTTTTCTACATCAATAGACGTAATTTTAACATATAATTCTGTATAGATATTTTATATAATTCTTCTGGAAACTGGGACAGTAATCTACATAATGATTTACCTCAAATAATCTCATCTTGAATACAATCTCAAGGAAAAGTACCAGATGAAATTAGTTCAAAGTTTTAGCATTCAAAATTTATATAAATAGTTAATGGATATACTCATATTAATATAACATTCAACAAATCCCTTTACTCTATCTTATAACGTCTTGAGGACCTGCGTTACTAGTCAAGAAGGACGAGAATATTAGGAAGATTTTGGGCAATATGGCTGTAGTTTTAGGGCGTGTGACATCCCTAAAACAACTACTTATCTGCCAGTAACTTCAGCCCGTTGTAAATGTTCACTCTGTAAAACAAGTAATTATGTGACCCATATTGATGTATCCCTTCCCGTATGTATATTATAGCTATTATCACTCCTGCAGGCGAAGAAGGGGACGATGAAGATGAAGAAGGAGGCGAGGAGAAGTTGCCCTCCTGCATGGATTACGTGATGCACTTTATCACAGTGTTCTGGAAGGTGCTGTTTGCCTTTGTTCCACCCACTGGTAAGGTCCATTGTTGCTCATCAGAGTTGAATAAAATCATATTTCAAATGTCATATAAGAATTTGAATTTTACTTTTCTGAAGAGTGAATTAAGAGTTCTTATTAAATTAAAGTGTACAATATTGGAACGTCACAGTTTTCATAATCTAACATCGTTAAGAAAAGTTTTACTTGTTTTCCTGCATATTTTAACGTAGTTGTTATTATATTGTACACATTTTATAGCTAAAGTGATGTGATATTCTTTTCTTTGTCAGGAATAATAATTACCTTTGATTTATATGTGTGTGTGTGAGTATGTGTGTCATTGTCGTCATCAACAGTGCACATCATATATTCAGTATTTAACACTTTTATACTCAACTTGTGCTGATTCACAACCAAATGTCAGCTCAGAGTGACTCCAGTAAACATCCGCCAGACCTTATTTATTTGGAACCCGTGAACCCTGATGTTGGTGGATGGCTCACGTGAAGACCAGCCACTTCACCCATGAAAGTCATCGTCCTATTAAAGTAAATGGAAGTGAGAGATCAGGGCTACCACGGAAGGCTCAGGGGTGACTAGATGCGAAGCCGAGCAGCTATTGCGCGACCCTCTCCTAATTTAACTGACCCGGCCACAGATCAGGTTTACAATACCAACCTCTCTCAAGCCGACAACTTCATTAGATCAGGACGTGTCTGTCTGTTGATTGCACATTTATTTGGAGGATAAGTTTATACTTTGCACTGAGATTGTTAAGCCGAGTTGTTTTGCTGCCAGTGTTGCATATATATTGTAACAGTGGACTTTTTTGTTTTTACTTTCTTTTGCTTCGTATTACAATAACAGTTTTACAAGGGAGCAGTTGTTTAACACGTCTCCTTACAGATTTATGTCCATGAGCGGTTGTCATTGCTCCTAGTTCAGATTTTTTTGGAGTTCTACTTGAGCTGTATCAAGTCTGTCTCGGATGTGTGGGGTTTCCTATTTTATAGTAGGTCGTGTGATAGTCACCCAAGCTCTCTTCCAATTGTGTTCGGGAGGTTCTTGTACAGTAGACCCCTGGGCGCCTTCTACCAATGACTTGTTCCTGAGCAAAAGGAGCGTGTTAGTGCCTCTCTTGTGTACGCGAGAGGTAAGATTTAGGGAACGAATTTTTGGTTTTAATGATAATACGTCTACTGTAGCGTGCATAAAGAGTCGAGGCTCCTTATGTCCTTTCCCTTGAGAGAAATCTTGAGGGAAGATTTTCTTCTCATGTCAGACCTCTTCTGTTCAACTGTTGCCACGCACATTAGCGGGACACTGATGTCAGGAGAGAAGTTTTGTTTGGGACTCTAGGATAAGATGATAACATCCGAATGGACATTGCATCTAGACTTACCTAAATTATGTTCCCGGAAGTTCTCCTTTAGGGGCCTTAGTTATCATAATGATTGGTCGCCAACTCTCAGATACTTCAATGACCTGTAGCTCAGGAGTCTTCTGCTGGAGTAAGCGACTGGGACAACTGGGAACAGACTGGTCTTCAATAAAGCCTATGCAGCCAATTGTAGAACGTCCTGTGTTCCAAACAAGTAGACTTTGGTGTACCAGCACATGAGTCACTCCTCACTGACTTGGTTATAAGATAAACCTTTGTCATCAAGTTCCCAAATGTTTTATATTTCACCAATACCGTGTGTAATAACTTGAAATATTCACATTTGGAATATTTTTACTTATATATTTTTTTTTTAATTAGTACAAAGTTATTATTTTTCAGATTCTTGCATTGGATAATATTATTAGTTCCAAAATAGAAAGTTAGAAGATAGTCATTAACCCTCTGAACTGCTGCTCACTCTAACCGGTTTTATTTTTCTAGACACACTGGCATTTTATTTTGGATTTTATTAATATAGAAAATGTTGGAGTAGTAATATAATTGATGCATAACAATGTTGTTTTATTCTGAGTGTCTTGTTAGATACAGAGAGCTGGTGACAGAGCGAGAATTATCGAATAAGAAAGAGAGCAAAGAAAGTGAGAGAGAAAGAAAGAAAAAATGAGCGAGAGAGAGTAGTAGTTGTAGTATAGTAGGAGTAGGAATAGTCGTAGTAAATGCTATAAAGATACACCCATGTTATGATCAATTTATTGTAACTCTAAACTAACCGAATAGTAACTAGAGCGAGAGTATATTCTCCGTGTCACAAATGTCCATGCAAGTAATCAGTAGTATCGTGACAATAATAAACTTAGGTTCTATACAAAAATAACCAAACTGAAATATAAATCACATGCTTGTACAGATGTAGAATAGAAAACCCAAAACCAAAGATCCGTATTTGCTAATGTGTCGCTAACTGTATGAAAACTGCATCCTGCATTAATTGTTCCTTTCTTTCGTCGACGACCAAAATCGCTTCCTCTTTCAAAGTCTTACACAATCAATTATTTCCTCCTCATTCTATAATCCTCAATCCTACTCTATTTTAATATACATTAGAAATATAATTATGTACCGTATATAAATAGTAGGGCTAAGGCAACAGGTGAAGAAGCTGATAAATCTCTATTACTGTCAATTCGGTGACCACATCGTCCAGTTTCAGAATTATGCAGTTTTACAAGTCTCAGGTAACAAGTGTTTGCAAGAAAGGTTAACTCGTATTATATTGCTATGTGTATACTTTACCCTTAGACTACAAATTTACTGTAATTCTTAATACCTGTTGTGTATAGTATAGAATGTAACACTCGTGAACAGTGATTAAAACCATACCTGTTGAGCCACTTTAATATATCAAGAAGAGTAACACCCCCTTAAGAGTGTTACTATAACCGGGTAATGGTCGACGAAGTTGTCTGAAACGCCATTACGATAAAACAGCTACTCCATGTTGAGTTGCCTTGTTCCTTGAGCCTACTATTTATTCCCCCTTGAGGTTCCCTGCAGACGACCAGCATCACTCATGAGAGTACTGCTGTGGCATGGGAGGAGAGCTATTTTTCTCTCCCATGAAAAGTTACTTTCCTAGACACCAAGAACAGCTCCAAGTGACCTGCCACACTCTGTCTAAATCCTTGATATCCATCATAAACCTCCATTTCTTAATTGCCTTCACAGGTTATTAGTCTACTTCCATTACTTCTGCTTTTTCTGCCTCTTACCCAACTCCTATCATTGTACGACACACCAAGTACAAAAGGTCTGAAGCAAACTTCATTCTTTCATTTATTCTACTTTAAGAGCGCCATTGACAACTACCTCAATTAAGTACCATAAAAATGTGATGTCCTTAACTCTATGAGAAAGGATCTATTTTTTTTATTACATCTGAAATTGTCCTGTTCAATATTACCCGATGTTGTGAAAAGGTAGTGTTCACAAACTAGCGCTCTCTCATGTGCTTCACGTCGGATTGAAATGTTTTTCTTTGTCTGTAATATTTTTATCAGATTCCCATACCTAAATGATAGTGTTTAGGGTAAGATTAAATTTTAATATAGTCTCTCAGAAATATATTTTGGGTTGTAGTTTTTAGTTTTAGACCCCTTTACCCAAAATATTTTTTGGTCATTCTTATTATAATTATCAGAACAAGTCTCTACGCTCAGAACTCCTTTGCCATATCGCGTGACTTACACTGATCTATATTATATCACCTGGGCAATATGATTAAGAGAATATAATGAAATGAAGGTATTTGCTTCAGCCTGGCACAGTCTTCCTCAACTCTCCTGGTAGCTCACCCGAGACTCGCTACCATGATGCCCTTATCTCTACTATTTTTCCAACAGATTATCTCTACGGCTGGCTCACTTTCTGGATCTCAATATCACTTATTGGTGTGGTTACTGCCTTTATTGGCGACTTTGCTTCTCATCTGGGTTGCACTATTGGGTTGAAGGATACAGTGACAGCTATCGCGATCGTTGCCTTAGGAACAAGTGTGCCAGGTAACATGCCTCAGCTGGTCACCTGGGAATCACTACTCACAAGTCCCTAGTGGTGTGGTGCAATATGAGCACAATGAACCAATCGACGCAGCGGTAGCATAACACCGATACTGAAACGGTTTGGATCCGCAACGCTTATTGGTGCATCCCCTGCTGCTTTGCACCATATCAGGAATGTGGGGACTCGCCATAATAGATTGGCTGCCTCGCGTTATATAACTTTGTGGTAATACTGTACTAGTTCGGGCATAGATCATCCTTCATCCATTGATATCATTTCGGGTCTTAAGAAAGTTGCCGCATAATCTACAGAAGCATTACTCCGCCGCTACTGTACATATTGTTTAGTTTATTGCCCCGAGTGGAAGGTATTGTAGAGCCTCACGTGGAGGTCAAGTTGAAGTTTACGGATCAAGACCAAATATCGAGGTCAGCCGACATAAATAAGAGCCAGTTGAAGCTGATGTTGACAACTCTTAAATACAGGCTTTGCAATTACTTACGACATTAATTAAAAACAGCTAAAATTAAATTTATAATTTACGCATCTAATGTAGTCGCCCAAAGAACAAATGATAGCTTAATGTAGACACTAGCAATTTCCTGGCAAACTTACAAAGACTGTCGCTTCTCTATGTTTACATGTGTTTGATACAAGCTCCATACAGGAAGAATTCATTATAGTTCCAGGTGGTGGGGAATTACTTTCAGTCCAAGCCATTTCAGCTCATTAAAAATTACTATGCATAAACTAAGAAAACAAAATTAAGAAATAAGCGACCAAATAGTAAACTGTTGCCTGTTAAATATCTTTGTTTCTGTTCTCTCTACCCCCAACTTACAGAATACTTCAAGGGATACCCCACCTTTTTAATCTCTATTATGGGAGTTGGACTTCTAACTGCCTTTATCGGTGACTTCGCCTCGCACTTTGGCTGTACTATTGGTCTGAAGGACTCAATCACTGCCATTGCCTTCGTGGCTCTTGGCACCAGTGTACCAGGTATGTTATGGCAGCAGGTACACCTGACCTGGTCGGGGCCACTGGCGACACTGATCACCACCATCCTCTCTGTGAGTACTGCTGGCTTCCTGTGGCGCTGTGGTACATTATTGCTGCTTCCTTAAACCAAATTTCACTGAAAACCATATGCCAAGGATTAGCACAGCAGTTCCCATACCAGAGGGAAGTTTTCGTGCCATTTGTGGTCCCAAGAGTTGGTCTGAATATGAGTGACAAGACCCAACTCGGCTTGAGAGTGGTCTTCCCGCGTCTGGAGATTGATAAACTTGAATACAACCCTTTGTACGGAGTTATTCCAATCGTGTGGTATATAGTGAATGATCTTTTATAACAACTACGTCCCTCGTGTTCTCCTGCGCTTCCCTGGCTAAATATTTGTCTTGATATTTTAACAGCATTTATAAAGGTGTTCGTTTACCTCATCCCTTCCCACTGCTTCATTGTGTCATTATACTTAGCCATCAAGAATGGCTTTTTTTCACCTCCTGTATATCATGACAACACTTCCATATGGAGATAACCAAAAGTTCGGTCCTTATCAGCCCCGACTACTGACTGTTGGGTTTGTTTAGTCAAGGTCATTATTCGTATTTTAGGTTAGGTTAGGTCAGGAAAGGTTAGGTTAAGTTAGGTTAGGTTCCTCAGTCGTAGTCGATCATGACAAATGTTTGAACAGTCATCTAGAGACAACCATTAGTGATATCCCATCAGTGTTTATAGTATACAGTATTGTCATTAGTTGTCCATAAACAAACAAAAAAGCTTCATCATCAATACACAATTATTTCATACCACACCTGTCACTGTGTCGTTACCATTAACCTTTCATCTTGGTCATGGAACACCTTCATCTAGACATCCCTAGTAAGAACTCGAGTTTTCATCTCAATTATTCACTTATAACTATGGAAATATTGACTCTAGAAAAAATTAATCTTGTCTCCATCATTATTACACCACCATCACTCCACCATTACTACACCACCATCACTCCACCATTACTACATCACCATCACTCCACCATTACTACATCACCATCACTCCACCATTACTACATCACCATCACTCCACCATTACTACACCACCATCACTCCACCATTACTACATCACCGTCACTCCACCATTACTACATCACCATCACTCCACCATTACTACATCACCATCACTCCACCATTACTACACCACCATCACTCCACCATTACTACACCACCACCATCACTCCACCATTACTACACCACCATCACTCCACCATTACTACACCACCATCACTCCACCATTACTACACCACCGTCACTCCACCATTACCACACCACCATCACTCCACCATTAATACACCACCATCACTCCACCATTACTAAACCACCATCACTCCACCATTACTACACCACCATCACTCCACCATTACCACACCACCATCACTCCACCATTAATACACCACCATCACTCCACCATTACTAAACCACCATCACTCCACCATTACTACACCACCATCACTCCACCATTAGCTCATGTGTACATCACAGTCTTGCCATCTCATGTCACATACCGTAGCTACTTAAGTTTTCATGTGACAACAGTCTTAGCTATGCACCTCATCATGTGGTAACAGTGTCAAAACATTGTTTCTCAATGTAGTAAGTGTGTCAACATTCTGATCCTCTGTGTGGCGACAGTGTCATAAGCACATAGTTATCTGTACGGCGACGGTGTTAAAACTCCCTGGATTTATATGGTAACAATGTCGCTGACATAGAGGGTCGTATTTAGATCATGGAACTTTGCTCTGAACTTTGTACATAAGTGACGTAAGTCAATAAATCTGATCTGATCTCCTATCATTTTGATTTAGAACAAGAACTCGTAAGTATTTACCAATTCATATGTGGTGTATTCTGTAAAGAAAAATGTTTTACTTAAAGTAGTTTATGCTCATATTTGTTCTGTTAAAAAATTCATATTCTTTTAATTAAAGAGATTCGCCAGCATCAGTGTATCAAACAATGCACTAACTCTATAAACTGCAAACTTTCATTAAGTTTAGCTTGTGTATTTGCTTCGCCTAATTTCAGTCAAGCTGGTATCTAATTAAAATTGTATCTAGAGAATAGTTCCTTGAGTTTAGTTAGTAGCGTATTAACACAGTCTGCCCAGGTAACAATGAAGCAGGACTCGAGTAGCTATAAACCATAGTGAATAACTTATCTGAAATGTTTTGACTACACTGCTCTAAAAAAATGTTCATGTTAGGACTAACCTGTATCTGTCAGGCGCTACTGACTGCATCCTTGCTTTTGTCTTCATTAGAAGTTCCTGTGATGTCTCGCTTTTACCAGCTTTTAGACTTTATTACTTACTTAAACTGCTCTAGTGTGACTGATGATCTAATCAAACTCGACAGTACTAAGTATTCAGCCTAATTTTATATCCTTTATCGAATTCAGACGTGTTGATGGGCTACCCGACTTTCGTTGTGAGCATATTTGCCATTGGTGTGGTCACGGCAGTTATAGGTGACACGGCCTCTCACGTGGGCTGCACCATAGGACTTAAGGACACGGTTACTGCTATTGGCTTTGTAGCGCTGGGCACGAGTGTTCCAGGTAACGTGAAAGTAGATTCAGGAAGAAGCTCTTCCAGTCATGGTTTCCGAGAGGAATGTTTCCACTTGTCAGTTATTACAGGAAATTTCTATTTTGTGCCAAGTCATCTCTAATCTAAAATTACTTACAATGAGATTGTCCAAATTATATCCTCCGGAAACATGACATTTATTGAATAGAATAACCAGTAGTGAAATTACCAAATGTAGGATATTAAATGATGCTGTGGTTATGACAACCTACATCACACTCGTAGGTTTCTGTTCGACCGTAGATAATGGTATGGTATTTTAACTAAATTTACATTATACGTTCAAGGACCATCGACGAGGAAATGATAATGGCTACCCTCTTTAGATAATGTAGTTGCGTGTGAATTAAAAACCTGATTGGACAACATTTGATGATAAAGTTGTATTTATTACGTCACATTTATTATCTCATACCTAATTCAGTCTTCTCACCATTCTCTTCTATGCCCTAGAATTACTGACTTTTACTTAGCATCATATTACCATAAATATTCCAGCAATTGTGTATATCATATTGCTTTCATATACACCGCGTGATTTCATTATAATCAAGTGCATGACATAAACAATAAATATGTGTGTGTGTGTGTGTGTGTGTGTGTGTGTGTGTGTGTTGGTGTGAGTGTGTGTACTTGCCTATACTGCATGATCTGAGAGTGAGTAAATAATGCGTATTATTTTTACAAGCTGCTTTTTCAGTGAAGCGCTGCTGTTACAATTGTTTGGATTTCGTGTGGAGTGTGCACCCATATTTAATGCAGCAGCTGGGAGTCTCCTTGTTGATTCCTTATTTTCATTGTGTTTGAAAATGTGTTTCCTGCTTCCACATCTCCTTCTTACATGTTCTTGCCCTCTAACGCTGATCTTCTTAATCACCTCTCCGGTATAAAGCCTTTGGCGGTGGGTACCCCTGCTTCATCATATCAATAACGGTGGTGGGCTTCCTGACAGCCTTGATAGGTGACGTATCAAGTCACGTAGGCTGCACCATCTACCTCAAAGACTCAGTCACCGCCACCACCTTTGTTGCTCTTGGGACCTCCATGCCAGGTACTCCGACAGCCACCAGGAATCATCGTCTCTCTGCTTCTCTGCCAACACTTAGCGTACCAGCATCTTCTTATTATAGAGTCAATGTTTAAATCATTAATATACAGTACATCCCAAATCATCCACTTGTTTTCTGGATTTTGAACGATCCTTATTTACTTCTCAGAGATTGAGTATTGTAAAATGTTGTATTAGGATAGAGGTATGTAAATACGAGTTCTGGCATTCCGTTTGTAAGCCGTAGTTGCCGTGTTGCATTCTCCCTCAGGACAAAATACAAGAACAATATTTTGGTTGGGAAATACACTAACCCCTTCACCATGAGTACCGTCAACCCGTCAGTCTGTCTGGTACTGAGGTCACGCTGTATTACCATTATTTTTGCCTGTATTTCAGCGGATCATATTTATTATTGTATTTACCCCGACGTTGAGCTTAAGTCTTGTATTTCCTAATCTTATGACCACCTATTCCTATTAATTTATACCCTCAACAGGTGCTCCTTTTCGCCCAGTGTTTACCTTCACCACCACCACCACTACTACTAATATTAACCTTCTTTGTTCTGAGCCTAGTATTGCTAATAGAATATAATGTGAATGGTTCTGTGTTCCATCACAAGAATATCTCCTTGACACCAACTTCAATTATCATTATGAACGTGATGATATTTTCGTCTTTGACATTTTTGTGATAAGTATAGCACCACCCACATCGTTACTTACCTACCAACTCCTGTTACCTCCAACACTCCTTTCCATGCCAATTTAATCTCCTGCTAACATCACCCCATACAGACCGGCAAGGTGGATGGTCGTGTTTTGTAATCTCTATAGCAGGGATTGGATTTTTGACTGCAATAATGGGCGATGTGGCCAGTCATTTCGGTTGTACTATCAGCCTTAGAGACACAGTCACGGCCATATCCATTGTGGCCCTCGGAACTAGTGTGCCAGGTAACCGACCAACCCACCCTTTGTGGCAGGGAGTGGCCCTCATATACTTGGTAACAGAGCAGGTGCCACCCTTCACACTCCGCCTCTTAAGCTTCATGTTAAACTAGAATATAAGATAAACAACTTTATATTCCTGCAGTGATAACAGTTTTTTGTTGACATTAAATAATATCAATATGTACTGTATATAGTAAACATCAGAACCATTGCCTGTGATCTATGTCATCTCTTGGAATTATTACTGGCCAAGACTAAGAGCTTGCAGTACATTATGTGTTCAGTCTTGTCAAGGTAGTATATATCCTACCTCTCTCAAGATACAGTTCTCGAGGTAATGCCATACAGTAGAGGATCAAGGTTCACAAAAAAGACTAGAAGCTTCTCTGGGTGCTTGCTAGTGTACTGTATGTACCAATTACCAACTACATAGTTACAAAACATCATTGTGAAGAAGCTTTATATAGATAAATAAAGAGGAACAAGTTATGGGTCTGGGTCGCAGGATCTGAGATGCTCCTCACCTTCTGTAAGTCGAGACAGACAGACAGACATAGTAAAGTCTGGCACCTGCACTGACCATGGCAACATCCCTCCACTCCTACAGCTTCCTCTTTCACTAACTGCATGCCATCCTTGACAGTGCTGAAGGCTTCTGTACTTTAATAGTATTTCTCGCACACCAAAGACATGTTGGTGCTTTCTTTCATAGATTCTAGATTCAAAAACAGTATCAACATCATTTATACAGGTAATGTAATAATCTAAAACCATATTTTCAATATCAGATGAATCACATATCAAACTCCATATCTAGTTCCAATAATTCAATTAAATCTCAGGAGAATTTCTTGCATATTGACCTAAAACATATGATAATTATAACAGACACCAGACTGATTAACAGTGGTCTACTTTCTAATGCGTGACTTCCCTTCCTCTTAGACACCTTCGCCTCTAAAGTGGCAGCCCAGCAGGATCCTTACGCTGACGCCTCAGTTGGTAACGTCACGGGCTCCAACGCCGTCAACGTCTTCCTGGGTATTGGTATTGCGTGGACCATGGCTGCCATCTTCCATAACGCCAAGGGCAACGACTTCAAGGTCCTGCCTGGCAAGTGAGTGTTTCTGAGGCCTGCATAATGAGAGACGACAATCATTGTACTTATACAGTCGACAAGGCATTCATGTTCCAACAACTTAGCTGGGTTGGGTGAACAGGAGTGCATATAAGGGAAAGGGAATATTTAGATAAAGCACATTGAGTCACCGTGACCAGATCTTAATGGAATAAAGAAGAAATTACAAGAAGTTGTGTAAGTAAGTAAGATGATTAGAATTGGAGAGGAGGCCACCGAATGATTAGACCCAGGTTATTTCACTTAGAGAATAGACACCCCAGCTTATTTCACCTAAAGAATAGACATCGCAGCTTATTTCACCCGAAAAAATACCCCAACCGAACCTAATCCCTTCAGGTAAGCGTTAGGGTCGTGGACTTTCAAATGAAACAAATTGGGGTGTCTAATCTCCAGGTAATCTCAGACAGCATATCGTAAGAGGCAGATGAGGTGGGCAGTATGGCCAAATATGAAGTACAGGATGATAAGGATGATAAACTTGAATATAAATAATAAGGAAGAAGACGTAAGCAAAGACGAATGAAGTGACTATCTGTGAAATCGATCTAGACAGTATCACAAGATACAAATAACACATGAAAAATAAGGTTTGAAGTATAAACTAACAATGACCTCAATAACAATAGGTTCAGAAAATAGATCCAACCAGAAGTATGCAAGGACGAATCTCGTAGCCAAGGTTTATGGCATAAATTAAAGGTGATAGAGTGTAGTTGGGTGGTAATGACTGGAGGCAGTAAGTTTAGGTGGATGGAAAAGTCGTGAGTGTAGATGGAAGGCGTAATTAGAGACAAGAGTGTATGTAAACAATGTACAGTTGGAGTCAAAAGTCCTGTCGCCTCTCCTGCTGCTCCACGAACAGCAAGATTCAAACAGTGAACCCAAAGCGGGAGACACTGGTGCATTATTCTGTCCACGGAGGCTTCGGGTTCACGAGTCTGAATCTTGGGGTTGGTGGAGCAGCAGGAGTGTTGACAGGACTTTTGACCCCGACTGTACTGTACATACAGGAAATGGGAGTAGTGTGTCAGTACAGGTATAGTGAGGAGGCAGAGTGGCCATAGATATTCGTGACAGTCAGAGTAAAATATAGTTATAGCTAAATTATACAAGAGAAGCACGTAGTTGGGGAGTGGATATTGTAGTCCGGGAGACTGATGAGCAGTACGACCAAAAGTTAGAGATCCAGAGGTCACAGTTATTAGCAGAGGAATTGATGATGCCAATTTGAGTAAAAACAAAAAAAGATAGGAGCATTCGTACATATGTAGTAGTATGTGTAAGACATGGTAGTGTTACCTGCAGTGTAGAAGGCAACCTTTTAAGTCAGTCTTGTCCTTTTAGGAGATAACGATTTGCTGTGTCATTCATTGTCACAGAGAATGTTCTGTGGTTCGTAATTTTAAGACTTTTATCATACTTACCACACACACACACACCTTCCTTTTATTGACTTGTACAAAGTCTTATTAAACTATAAAATCAGTTCTCTGGTAGAGTCGTTCACAAGCTCACTTTTGTTTCCCACAGCCTGGCGTTTTCTGTGACACTCTTCTGCGTGGAGGCTGTGGTGGCTATAGCCGTTATGATGATCAGGCGAAGCCCGAGGATTGGCGGCGAGCTGGGTGGTCCCAAAGTGTCCAAGATCCTCACCACCTCCTTCCTTGTCTTCCTGTGGATCTTCTACGTTCTCATGTCGACTCTCGAGGCATACAATCTCATCCCCTCTCTCTCATCATAAAAGACCTACTGAGACTCCAGGTTGTGGTTGTGCCGCGGTAACGGCGCGGCCCGCAAGCAGTCTGTGGTGGGCGTTGCGGCACCGCGCTGGGCCGCAGCCCCAAGCTTGGACCCTTATTTTCAAGTGAGGCAGCACGTGCCAGAGAGCCTTGCCTCTCACTGCCAGGCTGCCCTGACACCATCAACGTGTGAGTGACTGACTGACGTCGTCCACTACCACCATCAACACCTCCACCACTACCACCACCAAAATCACTCCCGGTCACCATCATCACGGCCCAGACCAGTCGTCACGTACCTGGGCCCGCGAGGGTGGGGGTTCCCTTTTCTTTACATACAGGACGCCTGGCATCTAGTAAGCGTGACGCACGAGCATTCCTCACATAGACGATGCTATACCTCTGTCTCATCTTTGCACAAACTTTACTTTTGGCATGGTGGTGCTCGTGTAACTGCGATGTTGACAACGTTTGTGGCCAACGGTGATGGCTGCGTCTTTAGCCCCAATGACGATCATCGACCATGTGGACATTTTGGAGGTTGCCGCGCCTGTGGCCATTTTCTGTTAAAGACGCGCCTGGCCACTTGTCCACACTTCCTGCAGGCTCGTCTACCACTCCACACCTCCCACAACACCGGCCTGCTCTTGCATATTTTGGAAGTCATACAACAAAATCCACCCTCATTCCTTGTATGTTTACTTTTAAGTGTTTTGTTTCTCCAGCACATGGATTCTGTTTTCGTGGTTGTGCTGTGTGCCACCATCACCATCTCATCCCTGCCACCGTGGTTGTACTGTGTGCCGCCGCCACCACCACCACCTCATCCCTGCCACCGTGGTTGTATTGTGTGCTACCATCACCTCAACCCTTCCATCATTGTTGTGGTGTGTGCCACCACCACCTCATCCCTACCACTGTGGTTGTGCTGTGTGCCACCACCACAACCCTATCCCTGCCACCATGGTTGTATTGTGTGCTACCATCACCTCATCCCTACCAACGTGGGTCCTTAGTCAGTTTCTAGTAAAGAATATATGGAGTACAATAAGGCTAGTCAATGGTTTGCCTAATTGATGTAGAATCAAAAGTCGGAATAGCTAAACCATTCAGATGAGTGCCTTCAATGTCGAGATATTTATAGAGAATTTATCATTTAGTATTGCTTTATCACACTGAATCTACTTTTATTCATTGGTTGGATGCCAAGACTTCAAGATATCCTAGCTAGATTCTATTCTTTTTTCTTTCTTTTTTAAGATAATTCTGTTGTGTCTCATTAGGAGTTGTTCCCGCCATTCATCCGTCATCACATTTGTTACTCATCATCCCTCATCATCAACCCGTGAGAGGCATGTTTTTTCCTTCATCAGTCTCTGTACCATGAAAGAGATGAACTTCATGTTCGTTGGGAGTGTTGACGTGTTTTTGTTCAATAGACATATTTTATAAATGTTACACTATTGTTAAGGGTTACAGTGGAAACATCAAAGTCATGGGTATAAATCTTTGGATTTTTTTTTTGTGGGTGAGAACTAGTTTTTACTTGAAAGAGTCTTGAAGTATGTGTACATAATTCAAATTTGCACTGTACATAGGTAGCTGTATAATACCTTCGTGATCAGCTGTAGTCAGTTTTATACGCGATAGCCAGGCTCTTTCAAATGTGTATAGAGTTGAAGAAACACACGTAGCCAACCCTGAATGATGAGAGTTATTGTTGAGGGAGCGTTGTAGCTTGGCTACACTTTCTCCGCCAGGTCCACTGCGCGGAAACACACACAACCCTCGCTAAACAAGGCTCTTTTGAGATTTGATTGCCATTGGCGGACTTCTAAAGCGGCTTAGCCACTTAAACTCAGGATCTACTATATTTATATTTTTTTTCCTGACTTCCGTATGTTTCTAAACACCTTTCTTACAAACGGTTATGCACGACTGAATATTTCTGAACTACACTAAGTAGCTGCCAAATGGATTTTAAACTAATGAGTTTTTTGCTCATGTGGAGATTAATTATTTATTTTGCAACACGAAGGATTATCTCTCCAGATTTCCTGTCGTATTCATATAGTAAAGGAATATTAGACCCTGGAATAAACCTTACGTGGTGCTCATAATAAAGAATCCAGCTCCATAATATTGATGACTTCCAGCCTTTTGGATGCCAACTACACGCGTGGGGACTTTAAATGTAGACGTTTCCCAGTTATTGGCAGCCGTGAAATATCTAAAATTTTCTCTTTTTAAATACCAGCCTTAGAAGGAGGGAAAATTATTAGTATTGAGTAGCAATAATATCATTATATCACACAAAAAAATTTAAATAAAATTTTAACACCGTAAGGTCAACAGATGTGTAGTCTTGTACACATTTCAGAGGATGGGATAGTTATAGGGGACCCTTATATCAAATGCTGTTAACTTCCCAGCGTTTTCTGTAGGCTGCCCTCATGGGCTCCTTTATCTCTCAAACCAAGACATTGTATTCTCATTTTTGTTGGATCTTCTGGAAACAAGTTTAAAAAAAATTGTCTCGTCTATGTATTCTCCTTGCGTTTTCTTAAAGTTAGCAATAAAAGAGTATAATAAAACCATGAGTTTCCTTGACTTTCCTTCGCTGGTGCCCATTCTGACTTCACAATAAACTAGTGTTCAGTGATACAACCCAAAGAACAAAATACTCACATATTAACTGATGCAAGTTTAATACAAACATAAACGCAGTCCATCGTTTTTGTTGGATGAAGAAAAAAATGTACATCAATAAACATGTTATGTTAAGGGTTGTGTTGTTGATTAAAGCCTGTAGTACGAGAGTGATTCAATATTATGTCAATAATGAGAAAAACTAATATATATATATATATATATATATATATATATATATATATATATATATATATATATATATATATATATATATATATATATATATATATATATATATATATATATGTGTGTGTGTGTGTGTGTGTGGACACAGATTCTGGGATGTGGTGGCAATATTGACAATATACAGTACAGTATACCTAGACTTTAACAAGGTTTTCGGTAGTGTACAGTCACCTCAAAAAGTCCGCGTCTCCTTCCCAACGAGTCAGTATCGAAACTAAATGAAAGAACGCAGAGCCAGCAATGTTGGGATCCTGAACTATACACACTTGATGGCAGATGACAGAGGCTACATCACCACCACCAAACAACACCCGATGACAGAGGCTACATCACCACCAACAGACAACACCAGATTACAGGGGCTACATCACCACCAACAGACAGCACCAAAAAGTGATTGAAAAAATACCACATAGATGCTGATGTTGTTAGTTGTACAAAAAAAAATTCTATATATTAAAATTTCTGTGAACATATTAAAAAATAATGAAGTGATCCCTCGCCTTACCTCTCATTATTATTTCTAGAGGAGGAATGTTAGATAAGCACACAGTCAACCACCTTCTCATATAAAGATTTACATCACCTGGAGATGAGCCCCCAGCTTAAGTCACTTGGATATGCCAGGCACGGAGGCGACCCCAGGGCCCTCTCAGGGTCGGCGGTGCCCCTATGGGACCTGTCAGGGGCGCTGGATCCACCAGGGGCAGTCTTAGGAACAACTGTAATCCTAGGAGCCTTCTCAGGGAAGGCGGCGTCCACAGGGGCTCCTCCAGGAACAGCCGAGCTTCCATGGGCCTCTCAGGGACGGCAACGCTTCAAGGGACCCTCGCAAAGACGGCAACGCTCCTAGAAACCCTCAAAGGGATGGCGGCGCCCCCATGGACCCTGCTAGGAGCGGTGGTGACCCTAGGGGCCCTCACAGGGACAGCCATGATCCGGGGGGCCTTTCCAGGGACGAGGACGCCTCCAGGTACGTTCCTAAGGACCGTGGTGCTCCCAGAGGCCCTGCCAGTGGCGGTGCCGCCTTCAGGGACCCTTCCAGAAGCGGTGGCTCCCCCCAGGCCTCTTTATGGGGTGCCACTGCTCCCAGGGACCCTTCCAAGGCCTGTGGCTCACAATAGGTCCTCCTATTGGAGTCGGCGCCCCAAACATTGGATAGTGGTGTCGTACATATTGCATTCTTCCAGTAATCTACTTCTTAACTGTGATTGGTGGAATAAGAGGTAACGTCATCAAATTACAGCCAATAGGAAAACAGAGGAATCAATCGGCACCACTCCCCAACTTATGTTTTGCAGTTGGATATTTATTCTCTTTTTCATTGTTCAGGTTGCGATAGTACTGAAAATGCTATGGGCAGTGTATTTATGTAACGTCATATCTCCCAGAGGTTAAATAGTGAAACGAGAATAAATGTCCAACAGCAAAGCATAAGTTGGGGTGTTGTGCTGACTGATTGCTCTGTTCTCCTATTGGCTGTAATTTGATGATGTTACATCTTGCTCCACCAATCACAGTTAAGTAAGGGATTACTGGACGAATGCAAAATGTACGACAAAATTATAAAGTTTTTGTGCGATGTCACATGTGAAAGGGCCCCTGGGGGCGCCGTCGCCCCTGGCAAAAACCCTGCCGCTCCTGGAAAGGCACCCATTGCGACTAGGAGGGCCCATAGCACCGCCGCGGGCCCTAGGAGGGCTAATAGGGGCGCTGCAGCCCCTGGCAGGGTCCTTGTGGGCAGTGGCGCCCCAAAGAGGTACCCTGGGGGAGACACCACCTCTGAAGGGCCCCTAAAGGTGCCACTGCTGTGGCAGAGCCCCTGGGGACGTCGCCGTCCCTGGGAACACCCCTGAAGGCGCTTCCGTCCCTGTAAAGGACCCTGGGATCGACGTCATACCTGTAAGGGTCAATTGGCCATGCCAGGCACGGAAGCGCCCCCAGGGCCCTCTCAGGGTCGGCGGTGTCCCCAGGGGACCTGTCAGGGGCGCTGGATTCACCAGGGGCGCTGGATCCACTAGGAACGCTCATAGGGACAACGTCAATCCTCGGGGCTTTCTCAGGGAAGGCGGCGTTCTCAGGGGCTCCTCCAGAAACAGCCGGGTTTCAATGAGTTTCTGAAGGACAGCAACGCTCCTAGGGACCCTCACAGGGACAGAGTGACCCCAGGGGTTTCTCCAGGGACGGGGGCGCCTCCAGGTACGTTCCTAGGGACCGTGGTGCTCCTAGAGGCCCTTCCAGGGGCCCTGCCAGCGACGGTGGCGCCTTCAGGAGCCCTTCCAGAGGTGGTGGCTCCCCCCAGACCTTTTTATGGGGCGCCACTGCTCCCAGGGACCCTGCCAAGGCCTGTGGCTCACAATAGGTATTCCTAGGGGAGGCGGCAATATTAAAAGAATTACAGATACATTTCCTTCCACCAAGGTGTCCTCTCATAAATCATAATATTGCTAACACTTTCACCAGAGCACTTTTTATTGATTTAGGACGCATTAATTAACACTTCCAGTTTTAAATTCCAGATACAAGTTTGTTGATGTAGTAGAATTTACCTGAGAGAAATTTGTGTAGACCCTATAGAATTCACTGAGAAGTTTCTTAGATGTGTTCCTAAGGGTGAAACTGAGAGGCTCTCGGCCATTTTTTTAAACACTCGGGGCAGCAAGTCCGAAGAGCAATCCCGAATATCGAGTTACTGTTTAGTAACCCGTCAAATGGATTCGTCAAACTCGAATATCAATCCCGGACATAGGGTTACTATATATTACCCGACCCAGAGGAATGTGAGTTCAGCATTTATTTACGAACCTTTCTCAATAAACTTGCAAGAGGGGTGTGGTTGTAGTGGATTCGTCCCCTACAAACGCCGGGTGTCGCTGAGTAGCCGACCCCGCGAATTCCCCAGTGTATGCCTCGTGGTCTAGGTCAACCAGCGCCGCCTTACATAACGGAGGTCAACTATTAAGCCACGCCTACCTCCGTTATATAAGACCTGACCTCGTGGTGACCTATCGCTTTCTACCTACACCAACCAGCTAGTAACACCACCTCCTCCGCTCCTGCCTGGCGGCCCTCGCTCCCGCCGGCGAGCATGGCGACCCACAAGCTGGTCCTCTGAGCATCCTCTCTGCATCACGCTTGTAACCACGCTGCCACTTCCCAGCACCAAGCTGCATTGTACATCCAATACAACATGTATACAGAGAGCACATTGTGAGTTTCCTTTCTCCATCCCATCCTGAGTGTGAACCAAACAATCCGTACCCCACAACATCAGTTAAAACTAAATTGAGGAACAGAATGGGGTTAGAGTTCTTAGCATCAATATTAAGAATAAAACGAAGTTTTGAACTAAATGGAACTTGTTGTTCGTCATTTGAGCCTCTAATGTCCACCCTGAACTATGACTCACCAATCTATAGAGAAGAGGAAGACCTACTGAACAGTGTAGGTCTATAAAGTAGAAACTTCAATCTGCCTATAAGTGATGTGTGTTTACAAAAGACTTAAAATTGTGTTAATGTAAGTAAGATTAAATAGAAGAAAAGTTGTGTTAATTTAATTATAACATGACACGAGAAGAATTATGTTAATTTAATTAAAACAAGTAACAAGAAGAATATGCTAATTTAATTGAAACAAGTAACAAGAAGAAAGTTATGTTAATTTAATAAAAGCAAGTAACAAAAAAAGGTATGTTAATTTAATTGAAACAAGAGACAAGAAGAAAACTCTTTCAGTTAGAACAAAAAGGAACAAGATACGAAGAAGAAGAGCGGCTAACGAGCCGATCAGTGGTGAAGAGGATAAAATAAAAATGATCTACATCTATCTACATATTTTTCTATCTACAGTATGTATCTCTCTCTCTCTCTCTCTAATATATATATATATATATATATATATATATATATATATATATATATATATATATATATATATATATATATATATATATATATATATATATATATTAGAGAGAGAGAGAGAGATACTTTCATTGAGGTCCGCTACTCTTAAGGTCTGTTTCCGCTACTCTTGGTCACCAGTCTCTGCCAACTCACACAACAAAGTCGTTCTCGGCGTGAGCTGTGGTGTGGTGTCTGTGGACCTTGTGGTAACATTTTGTAAGTATCCGTAATTGTCTTATGTATCTTATTTCCACCTGGTAAATGAATACTGATGTATGCCGGGTAACATTACAGTTTGCCCTAGGCCTAGAGTATAGAATTTAGTTTATCCAAGTGTATATTTTGGGGGGATTTAATCGAATTTGACCTTTATTTCCGGGGGAAAGTACCCGTTTTAGAGTTATACCCCCCAAAAAAGTATGGAAAAACTTTAAAATTAATTTCTGAAGTTATTATACTTTGCCCCCCTGGTTGAAATGGGTTTAGAAATACTCCAAATAAAAGGAGATTTAAAGGTTGGGGATGGTTAAAACAGTCGCCGTGTGTTGGCCGAAACTGCATTAATATACCGTATATGTATACACAGGCATATTTTATATATGTATATACTGATATATTTTATGTGTAATATACTGGTATATTATATATGGGTAATTATTCATAACTAACCCGCGGCCTAAATTGATAGAAAACGATTTTAAAAACTCCAGATTTTAACTGTTTTTTGTAGTGGACTCTGTTGTAGTTTGTGCATATGAGTTAAAAAATGGATATTACTAAAATTTAAT